AGCTCCGCGTGTTGAAAGAGTCATGGTGTCGGAGGTCTGGGATGGGGGGAGGGGGCTCGCGGGGCAGGGGGGGGCAGTGGAGGGGTTGGCCAGGTTCAGTCTTGCCAGCTGCTGGGAGGCATCGACCTCTCACCCAGGGCTCATGCCGATCCGATCGATCCGACTCGATATCGATTTCGGCCAGCCCGACCCGGTTCGATCTCGGTGCTCGGACGATCCGATGCTGCCCGACGCTTGTATGCGCTCCGTTGCGCATCCAGGCGCGGCCGATCCGATTCGATTCCAACTCCGTGCCGCTGCGGCCCGGTCCGACGCACTCTCCGATTCGATCCGACTTTCCGATGCTGAGCCGATCCCGCTCACCAGGCGTAGTCTGGGCCATCCTTGTTCGATGCGCGCAGTGTCCCGGCGGTGCCTCGCCCGGTCAGTGGCAGTTCCCTGGCGCGGATAGCCGCCGCCTCGTTTGAGAAGCTCCTCTGACCGCCTGCATCCCCAGATGGCCCAGCGGGCGTTGAAATTGCGCGAACCTGACGAACCCTCTCCTTGTCGTCCCCTTCCTCCTGTCTCATCCTCCTCCTCCTCTTCCTGCTTCTTCCTCCTCGTCCCTTCTCGAACCTTCCGCCTCCGTCCGTCTCCCCTTGCTCGTTCTCGTCCGCCTTGTTCTCCTGTTCCCTCTTCCGCCTCCTGCTCTTTCTCAGTCGGGACGCTCAGAACTCTCTGTCCGACGCCTGACCATATCCCACGAGGACCAGCTGGACAGGCTCCGCAAGCGAAGAAGCCGAAGCCCAAGTGGAACCATGGGCCACTGGGGGTGCGCTTCGCCCTGGCCGACTGCTTTCGGTGCGAACTTTTCCGCCTTCGTTCCGAGTGCCCCTCTTTTTGAGCGAACGGAGATGGGGAGGAGTCGCTTGACATGGATGAGGATGATGTGGCCATCGGGGGATGATTGAGGGTGGATTGCTGGATGGACTCGTGAAACCAACGGGACGGGATGGAACCGGATGGGACTGGACGGAACTGGATTGGGTGGCTTGAGACTGGTACGAGCGGAGCGGAGCAGAGCGTATGGATTGACAGACGGACGCCTGTATGGACGGATTCGGGCGCGCATGGATGGCCCGCCATCCCGCCCATCTCTGCCCCCTCTCCCCACCCGCATGCCCGGTATCCCCCCTCTGTCCGGCCCCTTGGTCCTGTTTAGCTGCTGCTCGTCTTGCCCCCGCGTGCACTCATCTTTTCACACGCGCTCGATGCCCTCGCAGGGAGCTGATGCTCGGCCGCTTCGGCAAGGAGAAGGAGAAGCAGTGGACCGCTGGTGCGCCGACCAAAAGGGCGCGTGGGGGTAAGGCGCGGCGAATTCCGTCTCCACAAACCATCCCCTGCAGAATCTTTCCGCTTCGCGTACCCCCACCAGCTGGGTGTGCCTGTCGGTCTAGTTCGTCTCTGACGGTGCTGTTTGCCTGACTCACACCGAGCGATCGACCTCTGCGTGTTTATGGTCGCGCCGCCGCGCCATTTTGGCTGCGCTTACTTGCTGGTCGCCACGGGGATGTCCAACGCCACCGGGTCGGGAGTATCAGTTCTGGCTCTCCTCCTGAGTGGCTGCCCGCTCGTTCGCTTTGCTTGCCGTTCTTTTCCTGCTGCCCAGTCGCGGCCCGACTGGTGTTCGGACGGCTTTCGACCCGCCTCGCGAGCCTGTTGACCAACAAGTGCCCCCACCGGCTGGCGTCCCGCTCTGTGCTTGACGCTGCCCGCCGTTCTGGCACGGCCTGCCCCTGCTTGCACGGCGTCCGACTCGTTTCGCGCGCCCGCGTGCCAAGAGCAAGTCTCCCCACCAGCTCGTTCAGACACCCTGCCCATGGGAGCAGGGAGGTGGCTTTGGATGGCTTCTTCGTGCCATCCCTGGAGCCCATGGGGGGGGGGGGGCGAGGGGGGTAGGACAAGCTAGGTGCGCTCGCGTCATATCTGACGTCCTACCCTCCCTCCCATCCCTTACCATGGCGCTGATTTTCTCTATCCGCGGACGCGTGTCGTAGCGGACCTGTGGCTCCGCGCGCGCGTGCGTAGTGGGTGGTGGTGCACGTGCGTGCGTGCGTGCGTGTGTGCGTGGTTGTGGTGGTGGTGGTGGTGGTGGTGGTGGTGGTGGTGGTGGTGGTGTGGTGATGGTGGTGGTGTGGTGGTGGTGGTGCAGGTGGTGGTGCTGTTGGTACTGGTGCTGGTGGTGGTGGTGGTGGTGGTGGTGGTGGTGGTGGGTGGCGGTGCGGCGCGGTGGTGGCGGGCGGATGGGCGCGCGAGAAAAAGGCCCGCGCTGGGGCGAGAACGCCATCCTGAACGACGGAGGCCAAACACCGATCCGAAAATGAGGCCCACGCTGCAGCGGGAGCACGATTCGGAACGATTCGGGAGCAGAAATGAGGCCGGCGCCTCAACGAGAGCAGCATTTTGAGAAAAAAAGACGCCGGCGCCTCAGCGAGAGTCGTTTCCCGGGATTTCCCGGGCATCCGGTGTTTAGAAAAACAGGACGCGGAGGGTGCGCGGCCATCACCCGGACGCCATCAGGGGAAGAGGGAGAGTATATTCATATTAAGTAATTGTGGAGGAGGAGGAGGAGGAAGAGGAGGAGGAGGAGGAGGAAGAGGAGGAGGAGGAGGAGGACTAGCAGGAGGAGGAGGAGGAGGAGGAGGAGGAGGAGGAGGAGGAGGAGGAGGAGGAGGAGGGAGGAGGAGGAGGAGGAGGAGGAGGTGGAGAGGTAGGAGGAGCAGGAGGAGAGGCAGGAGGAGGAGGAGGAGGAGGAGGAGGAGGAGGAGAGGAGGAGGAGGAGGAGGAGGAGGAGGAGGGAGGAGGGGAGGAGAGAGGGGAGGAGGAGGAGGAGGATGAGGAGGAGGAGGGGAGGAGGAGGAGGAGGAGGAGGAGGAGGAGGAGGAGGAGGAGGAGGAGGAGGAGGAGGAGGAGGAGGAGGAGGAGGAGGAGGAGGAGGAGGAGGAGGAGGAGGAGGAGGAAGAGGGGGAGGAGGAGGAGGAGGAGGAGGAGGAGGAGGAGGAGGAGGATGGAGAGGAGGAGGAGGAGGGGAGGAGGAGGAGAGAGGACGAGGACGAGGACGAGGAGGAGGAGGAGGAGGCAGGAGGGAGGGGGGAGGCGGAGGAGGAGGAGGAGGAGGAGGAGGAGGAGGAGGAGGACGAGGAAGAGTAGGGGCCTCGTTGGACGCTCTTGGGGCGGTCTTGGGCGCTCTTAGGGCCTTCTTGGTGCTCTCTACGAGCCCGCCTGGGACCCCCTTGGGGCCCTCTTGGGCTCACTGGAGGGTCTGGATAGGAGGGTCCTGAATGTCCGTCCCCCTGGGGCCATCAAATTCGCCGCTCGAGGCTTTCTTACGGCGCTCTCAGGCCGCTCTTGGGTGCTACTGGGGCCATCCATGGAGGGCCTCCTGGGCCTGGGCTCCTCCTAGGGCGCCGTTGGGCCATTTTGGGGCAATCTTGCGCATTGGAAGCGGAACAGCGCCAAGGCAACATTCATTGAGATTCCGCATGTCTTTAACGTGGGCCTTGGGAGGGGATCTTGAGCGTGTTTCGAGAGCACTTGAAACATTCTCGTGGCCCTCGTCGGGACTCTTGGAGGTATGTCGGACGCTATCTTGATCGATCGTCGGCTATCTTGAGCCGCCTTGGAGACCATCTTGGAGCATCGGAGGTCCTCTTGGAGCATCTTGGGCGAGACAGAGCCCTCTAACACCTCGCGGCCCCCCTGTCCAGACCCAGGGTGAGGGGGGAGTGGGATGGGTAAATCCCTCCCCGAAGGAGAAGAAGGGGAGTGGAAGAGGAAGCGCTCTACACCACCTCCGCCCAGAGGGCTGGTGGGATGGCAGCTCTAGGCCATCCTCGGCACCGTCCATCGCCACGGACACTGCAGTGAGTGGGGGTGGCAGGGAGGGTGAGGGGAGCCCAGGGGAAGTGACGATGGGGGAGGGACGGGGGATGCATGGGGGAGGGACGGCGGGTGGGAGGACAGGGATTGGGGGGGGATGCCGAGGAGCGGAAGGAAAAGGGATGCTGCTGTGGGCCCGCCGCATATCTATATCCAGCGCGTGGCCTCCGAAATGATGCAGCCGTGTGTGCTTGTCAGCTTCCTGGCAGGGTGGCGAGTGGGCAAGACGGGGACCGACGTCAGGCCATATCAGTCCAGCAACAGCTGTGGGGCTGGGTTCCCGCTCCCCCTGGGTGGCCCATTAGATTCGGCTCCTCTCTTGAGGGGTCGTCGATACAGCGGGTTTCCCCAGGGGGGTCGGGAGCGAGGCTACGTACGCCAGTCGTGGCTACTAGGAGTGCGTAGGGTCGGGAACGGGATGCTTGGTTAGCGTGTCGCTCCGCTGGTAATGGCCCACCACGCTTCGGCACGACACGCTAACCACGTCACTTCCCAATCCCCAAGCGTCGACGTCCGAGCGTATCTCAGCCTCCCTGCTCCGCGGAGCGGAGTAACACGCTATCTGACCGCAGGGGATACCATGTTGCCGGGGCCGCCTCCGCGACGCTCTAAGCAAACATTCCCGACCGTAGGTGGGGAAATCTGGAGAAGGGATTCGTGTGGCGAGTGCCTTCCCAGTTCCTCAGTCTCCCAAGGTGTCGGTCCGCGGCAACCTCTGGGGCCTCCTCCCAATCGTAATCCACTTTGACGTCAGCATCATTACAGTCGATGTCGCTCTAGCCTTCGGCGTTGGCGTGAGGGGTTCGCAATTCGGCATCGGTAACCAAAGCTATCGCCTTCGCCGTCGGCGCCAGCACTTGATATTCGTCACCTGTATGCGCTGGTAGTCGGTCTGGGCACCGCCAGAATCGTTCAGTCTGCCCTGCCGTTGACCGAGGATGCTGGACTTCCGCGACATCGAGCGCGAACTGGACGAGGCGTTCGAGCGCGCAGAGGCCAAGTTCGAGGAGGAGTGCCCAGGGCCGGCTGTAGCAGGGGCGAGGGAAACAGTCTCACTCGTCGAATGTTAGCTGGCTTTGCATTCATGTGCTTCTTTGGGGAGTGGTGCATGGACCAGTCGGCGGATTGTCCATTGACCAGTCGATGTTTTGATTGTTCTACGTGTGGGCCGCGCGGGTGTGGCCAGGAAGTTGGTCCCGGAGCGACAGCAGGTGAAGAGGCAGGTAGAGGCGGGGACTAATAAGCTAACGATGGTCATGACGATGGCGACGATTGTTTCAGAAGGCAACAGAGGTGGTGAGGGACACTAGCATGATTGTGGTGACGATTAACTAGGATGTTGACGACGGTGAAACTGGTTGTCATGGTGTGGAGGCTGCTGTGGCGGATGATCATGATGATGATCAGGATGAGGATGCGAATAACGTTGCTGCGTGTGGTGATGATTGTAAGGATGATGAGTATGAGACACGAGGGTGTTGTCGACGAGGGTGATCAGGATCGTGATATTGATTATGTTGCTATCGCTGGTGATGACAACGACGGCCGGCGGTCTTGATGACGATGACGATGAGGATGTGATGTTTGTTGGTCAGGATGCTGATGCTCCTGATGATGATGGTGGTGGTGGTGGTGGTAGTGTGATGATGGTGCTGGCGATTATGATGACGATGACGGTGACGATGGCAATGCTGATGATGATAATTATTGTGGTATTGGTCATGCTCGTACTGCTGATGCTGATGATGCTGCTGATTATGATGAAGCTGCTGATGTTGATGATGGTGATGATGACGACGATACTGCTGCTGATGATGATGACGATACTGATGATGATGATGATGATGATGCTGCTGCTGATGATGATGCGGATGCTGATGCTGATGCTGATGCCTATGTTGCTGATGATGATGGGGCTGATGTTGGTGCTGATGATTATGCTGATGATGATGCTGATGCTGCTGATGATGATTACAATGATAATGATGATGCTAATGATGCTGATGATGATGCGGATGGTGGTGATGATCATGGCGATAATCGCGATGGCGACGACGATGATGATGATGATGATGGTGTTAATGATGATGATGATGATGATGATGATGATGATGATGATGATGATGATGATGATGATGAGGATGATGAGGATGAGGATGAGGATGGCGACGATGATGATGCTGATGAGGATGATGATGCTGATTATGCTGCTGATGGTGACGATGATGATGGTGATGATGATGCTGATGACGATGATGATGCTGCTGATGCCGAGGATGATGGTGACGATGATAATTATGATGATGGTGATGCTGATGATGATGATGTTGATGATGATGGTGATTCTGATGTTGATTCTGCTGGTGATGATGACGACGGTGATGACGGTGGTGGTGGTGATGATGATTATGATGATGCTGATGATGGTGATGATGATGCTGCTGATGATGATGATTATGATGATGATGATGATGATGATGATGATGATGATGATGATGATGATGATGATGATGATGGCGCGGGTTGACGACGATGATGCTGCTCCTGACGCTTTCGTTGATGCTGATGACGATTCTGACGATGACGATGATGACGACAATGACAATGACGATGACGACGACGACGCTGACGACGATCGTAGTGATGGTTATGGTGATGTCGATGGTGATGGTGATGGTGATGGTGATGGTGATGGTGATGAGGAATATGAAGAAGAACATGATGATGCTGATGCTGATGATGATGTTGATGATGATGTTGGTGATGATGATGATGATGAGGAGGAGGAGCAGGAGGAGCAGGAGGACTCTCCTCAGCGGCTGCGGCGGACGCGATCAGCGGGTCCCTGACGCAGCGGGCACCCGGAGGATCTGTTGGCCATCGAGAAGGAACTCGGCGACGAAGGCCCGCTCTGGGCTGTTGTACGCTTTGCCGCTGCATGTTTTCCTCTGACGCCGGGACTGGGGAGAGGAGACGAAGGAGAAGGAGGACGCTGACATTAACGAGGATAATCGTTTGGGCCCCCCTGCGTCTTAAAGAATGCTGGTCAGCGTGGGCCCAAAACAATGATTTCGTACAATCTATGCGGCGCAATCTAGGTGGTGCAATCAAGGCGGTGCAATCAAGGCGGTGCAATCCATGTGGTGCAGTCCATGTGGTGCAATCTGTGTGGCTGTGTGGTGCGAAGCAATGCAACGCAACGCAGAGCAATGCAAAACAATGCAAAACAATGCAAAACAATGCAAAACAATGCAAAGCAACGCACAGCAATGACAAGTTATGCAGAGCAATGCACACCAATGCAAGGCAATGCAAAGCAATGCAACACATTGCAAAGCAATGCGACACAATGCAAAACGATGCAAAGCAGTGCAAATCAATGCAAGCTAACCCAGCGGTGACGGCGGCGACGGGCGGCGACGAGCGGCGACGAGCAGGCCGGACCGCCGTTGGGGCTCATTTGCCAGCGGTGACGGCGGCGGCGACGGGCAGCAACGAGCCAGCAAGACCGGCACTCGGGCCTGGTAGCTCGCGAGGACGGCGGCGGCGACGGGCGGCGACGGGCCGGCAGGACCGGGATTCGGGCTCAGTCAGGTTAGAAGCCAAGCGAGAAGCCCGAAGTGCAAGCATCGCTCAGGGAACGCATGCAACCGATTTCTTGACACGTTTGTCTGTCCATATGCCACATATATAGATATGTATGTATACACATGTAGAGAGAAAGAGAGAGAGAGAGAGAGAGAGAGAGAAAAAAAGAGAGAGAGACGAAGGAGGCAGACGACTCCCGAGGGAGGAAGGGAGGGACAGTCCACGCCCTACCCCACCACGGAATGCCCGAGGCAGGTGACCGTAGCGGTGGAGGCGGGCACATTCTCTGGGGCTACGCACAGCTTGCTCCCACTCGAGCACTGGGGCGGCCAGAAGGGCACGGCCCTGGCCAGAAGGGCACGGCCCTGAACCAGCCCTGGCCCTCGAGACAGGCAGCCAGCCTCGTCGAGGCCCCCAGGGGGCACAGCAGGCCGATCGTGGCGATCCTCGGCGCTCAACCCTCAATAGGGGGCGCGCAAACATGGATTAGCGATCCTCCCCAAAATGCGGCCGGTGCCGCCTCGCTCGGCGGCGGAAATCCGCGATTTCCAATGGAAACGGGACCAGTCGCTGATCCACGCCCCCTTGATCCATGTTTGCGATCGCCTGACTCAGGCATCACCCCCCGACCCAGTCTAGCCCGCTTCTGCAACATCCGCGTGTAGGGCCTCGAGTCCCTGATGGTCTCGAGTCCCCGCGGCAGCGACTGCGGTCTCCAAGCCTGCCGAGAAACGGAAGAGGAGGAGGAGAAGGAGAAGGAGGAGGAGGAGGAGGAGGAGGAGGAGGAGGAGGAGGAGGAGGAGGAGGAGGAGGGGAGCAGGAGGAGCAGGAGGAGCAGAGAGGAGGAGCAGGAGGAGCAGGAGGAGGAGGAGGAAAGGAGGGAAAGGAGGAGGAGGAGGAGGAGGAGGGGAGGAGGAGGAGGAGGAGGAGGAGGGAAAGGAGGAGGGAAAGGAGGAGGAGGAGCAGGAGGAGAGGAGCAGGAGCAGCAGGAGGAGCAGGAGGAGGAGGAGGAGGAGGAGGAGGAGGAGGAGGAGGGAAAGGAGGAGGGAAAGGAGGAGGAGGAGGAGGAGGAGGAGGAGGAGGAGGAGGAGGAGGAGGAGGAGGAGCAGGAGCAGGAGCAGGAGGAGCAGGAGAGAGGACGACGAGGAGGAAATGACGGAGGAGGAGGAGGAGGAGGAGGAGGAGGAGGAGGAGGAGGAGGAGGAGGATATTGGGCAAGGAGAACCCTCAGGACAAAAACACAAATAGACGAACAAAACAACAAGTCCTGTGGAACTGACACGAATCCACATCACATATCAGTTTCATGCACACGCAAGGAACATATCGTATCAACACCTGTGGTTCTATGAGCACATGAAACGCATAAAGACAACGACAAGGTACACCGCACAGCCAATATTCACATGCACACGCAAACATACATGCGCACGCTCCCGCTCCAAGATGTCATGCTTCCGTTCGATCGCGCTTGAAATGTGAGTGTGGGAATGACTCTGATTATCGCTAGGCCTATCAGACAGAGACTGCGCGAGCGTTGTGAAACTCCATGTGACCCTCGCTGCCTTAAGTTAGCTCTCAGTGGATCCACTGCCTTCTTCCTCCCCCCTGCATCCATCTGCTCTTGTCGTTTCCGCTGCTCCCCCACTCTGACCCTCTTCGGCGCCCGCTACCCGTCATTTCTTTTCCCTCCACCCTCTCTCCCTTCCAGTATTCCCTCTCGTTTCCCCTCCCGTGCCCCTTCCCTCCCCCTTCCCTTCCCACGGTGGGGTTGTCTCGAGGACCAGTGCCATCTAGGACGCTCCAGCCTGCGGACAGGCAAGGGGTCAGAGATGGCGCGCGCGCACCTGGCTTGCCTCTCTCCGCCCTCCGCTCCCCCCTCGCCGCACTGCTGGTGTCAAGACAGCGCCCCCGCCCCCCCTGAATGCCCCAAACCTGCTAAACAAATCCTGACCCCTCCCTCCCCCCCCTGGATCCCGAGTGTCATGACTACCTCCCCAAGCGGAATCTTCGAGCTGCCTTGATACATCGCGTGCTTCTCCCCCGCCGCCTCTCTCTTCAGCGGGCGGCGCCTGCGCCGCCTCCTCGGACGCCAGGCCTCGAGTACGAGGGCGCCTCCAAGAAGCTCCCGCTCGGCCAGCTGCTGCCCCAGGACGGCTTGCCCCTGTGCAACATTCCTCGCGTGCTGCCGTCGACCACTCGTCCCTGCGACCGCTTGCGAACCCCATCCCTGCAAGCCCAGTCGCCGCTAGGATAGAGGGCACTCCCGATGGTTTTCATCTGGCTGCATACATCCTTCAAACGCTTAATCCAAATTCGAATGTATAGGATTCATATGTGGTTGCTTATCGTTGGCAGGGTATTGGGTGGCCTCTTTGGCTTGGGTTCCTGTGCGTGGTGCGTGCGAGTTTTACTCACTCTGATGGCTCTCATGGTGTTTGTCTGTCTGCCTGCCTGCCTGCATGGATGCCTGCGGTCAGGAACGCTTATCTTGTCTTGAGCCCGTCCCGGTTTGTTTGTGTCTACGTCTCCCCCTCCTCGCTCTGCGCATGGACAAACATGGACGCATGGCTGTCCAGGATGAGCGTCTGCCTCTGCATCTGCCCTGTTTCACTGTGTCTGCTATGCCTGTTGGTGTCTGATCCTGCGTCCGCTTCAATGTTTTCAGTTGTGCCTTTCTGCGTACGTGTGTGTGTGTGTGTGTGTGTGTGTGTGTTTGTGTCTGTGTGTCTGTTTGTGCGTTTCTCAGTGCATCTGTATCCCTATTTGTCTTTGTTTTCTAAAACAATGCTTGCACGTAAGGGTTCTCACTTGTGTTCTCCGGTAACTGGGCCCCAGTGGCGGTCCGGCTGGCCCGTCGCCGCCCGTCGCCGCAGTCGCCACTGGGTCCCAGTGGCGGTCTGGGCCCCAGTGGCGGTCCGGCCAGCTCGTCGCCGCCCGTCGCCGCGTTGCTGTGCATTTCTTTGCATTGCTTTGCATTGCTGTGCATTGCTGTGCATTGCTTTGCATTGCTTTGCATTGCTGTACATTGCCTTGGATTGCGTTGCATTGCTTTGTGCCACATAGGTTTCACCACATGGACTGCACCACCTAGATCGCACTATATTTCCTGCGCCACCTAGAGTGCACCGCATAGATTGCAAGAAATCACAGTCTGGGGGTCCACGCTGGCTAACATGTTAGTCTCTTTAACTCTGCATCTGTCGTTGCCTCTGCCTCTGCCTCTCTACGGCAGTTCAGTGCTGGCCAAGCTGCTTCCGAGCGTTTCGTACACGAGTCAGATTTCCATGTCACGCGCTGGCTGCAAATGGCATTATTTCGCCCTATGGGCCAGCTTCGGAAGACAGGCATTCAGAGTTTGTGAGTTCATTGATCCAGCCCCATGTTTCGTGAGGCGGGATGACGGTGCACGACTATCCCCTGTCAGGTCTCGATCGAGTGTGGAGCCCTCGGTTCCCTTGCAAGCGACTCCTTGTTCAGGACCGCGCCCTTCGGCCTTGGGTCGCCAATGGCTCGCGCTGTTGGGTGAGCCCGTTCGTCCAGTGACGGGCCCTGCGTGATGGCGCGCGCGCGAAGGCCGAAGGCCTCTTGTCGTGTCCCCCCTCCTTGCGCAGGCGGTGCCCTCCCGCCGCGCGCTGCCTCCCCCCCTTCTCTGCCCTTCGTCCCCTCGTCCTTCCCCTCGTCTGCTTCGCTGCGTCTCTCCCCTCGTCCCTCCCCTCGTCCTTCCCCTCGTCCTTCCCCTCGCCCTTCCCCTCGCCCTGCCGCTGCTCTTGGATCCAGGTGGCCGCCGACAAGAAGGCACCCACTCCTGGGACAGGCAGGGGTGGCGCCAGAGGCAGGGTCCGGCCCGCCGCCTCGCCGGCGGCGCGTCGCCCGCGCGCGCCCGGGTGCATCGCGAGAAGGCGCCCCGTCGCAACCTCCGCGCTGGCGGGCGCCCATGGCATGTCCTCGCGGTCCCGGGCGTGCCGAGGCAGTTCGCCATCGCAGGTGTGGCGAAGATCAAGACACGCCAGGCGAAGGAGACGGTCAAGCGGAGGAGGAGGAGGAGGAGGAGGAGGAGGAGGAGGAGGAGGAGGAGGAGGCCCAGCGGCGCTGGAGGCTGAGGATACAGAGGAGGCCGCCTCCGGAGTCAAGACCTCCACTGCAAAGGGCTCCATGGACGAGTTCTGATGGCGCCACTTCTGCTTGAAGCGACTCGGGCGTGCCAACTTTCCGACGTGGCATGCCGTGCCCCCGTGCGCGCCGAACCGCGCGCGCCGCCCATGCGTTTTGCGCAGCCCGCGGGCTCCGCCGAGGTACCCACGCACGCTGGGTCAGTCTGCTGCGTCGCTCTGGCTGCTCACCGTGCCCGGCAATTCCACGGTGCCCGCCTGCGAGGCGCCCGAGAGATTCGGCTCCTTCACGCACGCCTTCTGGGCGCCACTGCGAGGGCAGCGCGCGCGAGGCAGTACTCGGACAGCGAGTATCGGCACGAGTAAGCAGGGCCCCGCGCGAGGACAAGGGCAGCCATCGACGGGAGCGTGGACGTCCCACTCGCTATCCCGTTGAGGCTTCCACAAGGCCGTGGATGCGGAGAGGGATGGCGTGCAGATCGCCTGCAATGCCGCAGTCGCAGACGTTCTCGAGGCAGCTCAGAGCGCGTGGACAACGCCTGATCGCTGGAGCAGGTTCCCGCTAACGCGACCGCCAGCAGTCTCATCGGCGTGACCTCCGAATTCATCGCGCCAGTGAAGCCATGATCGGCACAGAGCGCCGCGAGGCCATCCGCAAGGTGATCGACTTTCCCACCTGCACAACGGGTGTACTGAACTCTTCCTGGTTGCGAGCTTGGTGAACACATGTACGTTCCCACGCGTAGTGTAAATCGCGACAGGTATCCAACCGGGTGTGCACAGTTCACATAAGGTCCCGATGCAGAGCTGCTTACACGCTGAACTGACTAAGCAGACAGAGAGAGAAAGAGAGAGAGAGAGGGAGCGATAGTGAGAGTCAGAGCGAGAGCGTGAGCGCGAGCTTAGAGAGAGGCGGGCAATGAGGGAGGGAGGGGGAGAGAGAGAGAGCCAGAGATCTGGAGGGGGCTCACTTGCCAGAGGGGGCGTTCTGGGCTCTCGGCGGGGGGGACGGGAGAAGGCGTGGAGGGACGACAGGAGGTGATGGACGGTTAGAGGATGAGGGAGGGTGGACCTGGGCAAGGAGGTGATGGACGGTTAGAAGATGAGGTGATGGACGGTTAGAAGATGAGATGAGGTGGACGGTTAGACGATGAGGGAGGGTGGACGGGCAACGTAGTACTGATTGTAGAGGCTCGTGCGCCCGAACACAGGAGGTGATGGACGGTGAGAGGATGAGGGAGGGTGGACTTGGGGAATGGGGGTGGACGGGCCACGTAGTACTGACTGGAGAGGCTCGTGCGCCCGAACACCCTCTCGCAGGAGTACCTCGAGCAGCACACGAGCCGTCTCTTGAGGGTGGGCAGCCGCTGGAACGAGTCGCGGCGGCTGGAGTCGCGCCGGCCTTCCGCCACGTCGTCCAGCAACTTTGGTGGCCCCGCCGCTCCGGCCGCTGCCGCTGCCGCTGCACAGCTGCCGACGACGCGTCCCGTGAGCTGGTTGACGAGGATGATGCGGCGGCTGTAAGTAAGAGTCGGGCGGGACAGGGACCGGGGTGACTTGTTCCAGAGGGTCTCAGAACTCTCTCAGAGCGTTCCAGAGCGATCTGGAACGGCCGCGGCGCCCGATACGTTCTCCAGAACCGCCGAATTTCAGAGATTCAGGATTTATCCTGGTCCGATTTTGTCCCTGTCCTGGCTTCGCCTTTTAGGGGTGCGTCGGCTGCGGGTAGTGGCCCTTCGCTGGAGTGCCCTCTGGTGCGCCGGGGGGCGGCAACGCAGGGCCGCAGGCCGCCACCTGTCGCATCGCATGGAGCGATCGGCCAGCCGCGCACCACTCTTGGCGTGCAGCGGACGGGAGGTTGGCGATGTTCCCCCCCTCCTTTGTGCCCGTCTTCGCCTCGAGAGCCAGGTCACCCGCAGGGGCGCACAGGCACAGTCGAGTGTGACTGGGGCAATCGACACGCCGCGCACCAAGGTTCACTCTTTGCGTGTTGTGCAGTAGCCTCGCGCCGCGTCGACGCGGCGGCGACCCGAGCGCCAGCGTTCAAGATCAAACGCCGCCAATGGCCCAGAATGGGTCGGCATCGAGCCATCCGCGCTGTCGGTCAGCCGCGGGCGTTCAACGTCGAACGATCCAGGCGGTGTCAGAAACCACCGCGTACAGTCGCCACGACACGAGCCTGTAGGAGCCGACTGGAGGCTGGCGATGTGCGCCCCTCCCCCCCTCCTCTGTGCGCGCCTTCGCCTCGAGACCCAGGTTGGAGGGTTTCTCCGAAGGGCTTATGCAGCCCGTCCTCCTCCTCCTCCTCCTCCTCCTCCTCCTCCTCTTCCTCCTCCATCCTCCTCTCCTCCTCCTCCTCCTCCTCCTCCCCCTCCTCCTCCTCCTCCTCCTCCTCCTCCTCCTCCTCCTCCTCCTTCCTCCTCCTCCTCCTCCTCCTCCTCCTCCTCCTCCTCCAGGCCGGGCCGCGAGCGAGGGCGCGCGGGTGCCGGAGGCGCCGCGCGGAGCCGAGGCGCCGGCCCGAGCGGCGGCACGTGCGCGGCTCGCGGGCGGCCGCCCGCGCACGGGCCCGACGTGCCTTGCGCGGCCGCTGCCTCGCGCTGCGCCTCACGCTGCCTCGCTCAGCCACGCGCAGAGGGGAGTGGGGGGGAGGGGGGAGGGCTTCTTAGAATCGCCCGTGCTTCTTAGAAGGCGCGGGCCTTATCTATAGATGTAAGGCCGGGGCCTTCTAAGAAGCAGCCTCCTTCTAAGAAGCCCTCCCCCCTCCCTCCAACCCTTGTGCGCGCCGCCAACTCGCGCTGCCTCGCGTCTGCCTCGCGTCTGCGGCCACTTGTCATGGCGCCAACATCGCAGAGCGGACTTCGTTTGGAAAACGATAGGATGGGCCTGGAGCGTCCTGGAGAAATTCGTTCCGGATTCCGAGGTGAATTTGGCCAGGAATGAAGACCAACAAAAATCCACGCGAAGTTCACTTCGTTTTTCGCTCTCCGTTTCGGGCACAAATCCACGCAGGAATCCACGCAGAAATCCGCTGCAGCACGTCTGCAAGGCTGGTGCAATGACACTTGGCGGCCCCCCCCCGCTGGGGTTCACCTGGCTGCAGGCATCAGTGGCGTTCAAGCGATGCCCATCCCCATCCCCGTGCCCCTCCCGATGCCCACCATGCGACCACCCCAGGTCAGGATACGCCCCTCGAGGCTCGAAGGGAACAACCCACATGCCCATCTAGGGGGGCAAGTCGGCCAGTGGGGCCCAAGCCACGCCAGTGGGGATTGGGATCGGCCAAACGATGCTCAAGAGACATGCTCCTGATTCCGAACCCCAGCCAGCGTTTCAGAAATCTGACCTGCAGGGGTAGGGCTCACGCGTGGTTGCCCGTCGCGCTGCCGCGGTGGCTCGCGCTGCCGCTGCCGCTGCCGCTGCCGCTGCCGCCCGCGAGGGGAGGCGCCTGGAGGCCCAGGAGGTGTCGAGCTGGCGGCGAGCGGGCGAGGCAGGCGGGAGCCGCTCCTGACCTGCCTGCCCTGGGCCGAGATCCGGGCGTTCGCACAAACGTGGGGCAGAAAGATGGGGCTTGGGGCTCCGGTCGTTATTTGTCGCTATGAGGAGGGAGGATGGAGAATGAGGAGGACGACGACGGCGAGGAAGGGAAGAATGGGGCGACGAGGGGGGTGAACAGGGCACGACAGAGCTTGTGTCGCGTGACCGCAGGTGGCTGCAGCGTGGCCTCCTCCAGGGCAAGCAGCAGCAAGCAGCCCTCGTCGTACGCGGAGGCGCTGGCGCCGGCGTGGCCCTCCCTTCCGCTCTGCTCCCGGGGGTGGGAATGCGGTGGTGTGGATCCTCAAGCTCCCAAGCGGTTTAGACCGGAGCTCAAGGGGGGCATATGATCTTGCTTGCTTACTCGCACACACGTGTGGGTCGTTTGGGAGTGCAGAGAACACGAGGAGCATCAGAAAGGACTCCAACTCTCTCCCCTCGCCCTTGCCCGCCCCCTCATTCTCTCCCTCCTCCTCCCCCTCCTCCTCCACTCCTCCTTCGCCCCTCCTCCAAGTCCTCCCCCTTCCGCTTCCTTCCATCTTCGCTCTCCTCCCTCCTCTTCCGCTCTTCGCCCTCCTCTCCCTCAGCTTCCTCTACCCCTCTGCCCCCTTCCTCCGCTCTCCTCCCCTCCCCCTCCCTCCGCCCATTCCTCTCCTCCCCGCCTCCCTCTCTTTCTCCAGCTTGCCCATCTCTCTTGCCCTTCCCCATCTTCCTCACCAGTTAGGTAGGTCGACGGGGAGACAGGTAGTGGAAGAACCGGGGAAAGGACAAGTAGGATGTGAACGAGGATGATAACGAACGATTGCGTGGATGGTGGCGATGATACTTGATGCGGCTGCTGATGATAATGGTGATGTTGATGGTGATTGTGATGGTGATGACGATGGAATCTGGTGGTGTATGGCGGTGGTGGTGGTGGATGGTGGTGTACGGTGCCGTGCGCTGCGTAGACAGTGCCAGGGAAATTAGCTTGGCGAAGGACCTAACCATATGCTGTTGCGAGTGCCGTCGTTGTGAGTATCGCCTTCGGTGGAGCTCCTTCTGGGGCCACGAAACGCGTGAGGGGATCGCCGAAATGGGTGGAGCGGCCGCGTGTGAACATGGCCACGGAGGCCTTCAGTGGAGCTCCTTACTGGGTCACGGAAACATGAGAGGGGTGTGCCGAAATGGGCGGGGGGGCGCATCTGGACTGCGCCACTGCGATCTTCGGTGGAGCCCCCCCTTTTATGGGGCCACGAAACGTTTGAGGGATGTACCAAAATCGGTGGGGCGAGCGCATGCAGGCTGCGCCGCTGGGGCCTTCGGCGGAGCTCCCTGTGGAGCCTCGAAACTTGTGAGGGGTGTGTCGACATGAGTGGGGCGGACGCAGGCGGACTGCGCCACTGGGTCGTTCGGTGGAGCCCTCTCGGGGGCCACGAAACGTGTGAGGGTCGTGTGCCGAATTTTGCTCGGGACCGCATGCGGGCAGCGCCACTGGAACCTTCGGTGGAGATCCTTGTGGGGCCACGAAAAGTGAGGAGTGTGTCGACACAGGTGCGGGACCGCATGCGGGTGGCACTATTAGGGCCCTGGGTGGAGCTCCCCATACAAGGGGCCACGAAACGTGTGAGGGGTGTGCCGACATTGGTGGCGGGACCGCATGCGGGCGGCACCGCTTTGTGCTTTTTGTGGAGCTCCCTGTGGGGCCACGAAACGTGTGAGAGGCGTGCCGACAAGGGTGGCGGGACCGCATGCGGGCGGCACCATTTGGGCCTTGGGTGGGTGGGTTTCCCCATGGGGCCACGAAACGTGCGAGGGGTGTGCCGAAATTGGTGACAGGACGCATGCGGACGACACCATTGGGGCCTTCGGTGGAGCCACCTATGGGGCCACGAAGCGGAATGGACGCGGGGTTGCATGCGGGCGGCACCATTGGTGGAGCTCCTTGTAAAGCCACGAAGCGCGTGAGGGGTGTGCCGAAATAGGTGCGGGAACGCATGCGGGCGGCACCATTTGGGCTTTGGTGGAGCTCCCTAGGGGGCCACGAAGCGCGTGAGGGGTGTGCCGAAATAAGTGCGGGACCGCATGCGGGCGGCACCATTGGGGCCTTTGATGTGGCTCCTACGTGGCCACAAAGCGCATGAGAGGTGTGCCGAAATGGGTGCGGGACCGCATGTGGGCCGCACTATTTGGGCCTTCAGTGGAGCTCCCTAGGGGGCCGGATGTGCCGAAAGTGCTGCAGGACCGCATGCGGGCGGCACCATTTGGGCCTTTGGCTGGAGCTTCCTATGGGGCCAGTGCGAGGGATGTGCCGAAATGGGTTTGGCCCGCATGTGGGCGGCAACATTTGGGCCTTTGCTGGAGCCCCCTATGGGGCCACGAGACGTGCGAGGTTTGTGCCGATGGGTGAGGGACCGCATGCTGACTGCGCCATTTGGCACTTGGGTGGATGTCCCTATCGAGACACGAACCGTGTGAGGGGTGTGGCGGCACCATTTGGGCCTGTGGTGGAGCTCCCTGTGGGGCCACGAAGCGCGTGAGGGGTGTGCCGAAATAGGTGCGGGACCGCATGCGGGCGGCACCATTTGGGCTTTGGCTGGAGCTCATAATGAGGCCACGAAGCGTGTGCGGGGTGTGCCGACATGGGTTTGGGACCGCATGCGGGCGGCACCATTCATTTGGGCCTGTGGTGGAGCTCCCTATGGGGCCACGAGGCGTGTGAGGGGTGTGCCGACATGGCTGACTGGTGCGGAGGGGCGAGGCAGGGATTTTGGAGGAGGGAAGAGTGGGTGCAGTCGCAGGGGGAGGAGCAGGATGAGACGCGGGGCGCTGCCTCTTTAAAACGATGGTTGCGAAAAGAAAAACAGGCCAGAGGGGGTTGCCGCGCGGGCTGCCGCAGAACCGGAGGAGCCTTCTCCCCAGAGATGCCGGCGAGGCGATTCTCACTCTCTTTCTCTTTGTCTAAGTCCGCGGCCAGCAGGGGCTCCGACCCCTTCCCCGAGGGTATAGCTTTCCGATCGGGTCCTAAAGCCCTGGGGCCCGATGACGGAGGCCGAATTCGAGGAAGAAAACGCTGTGACCGAAAAGGCCACATCGTCGAAGATCCGAGCCCCCGGCACGCGGGCCGAGCATGCGCGGCAGCGCCCCCCCGCGGCGGCGGCGCCCTGCCCCTGCGTCTCGCGCCCGTGGAGCTCTCTTGGGCGGCTGCTCGCCGTGGCCTGGCTCCGCGGGCACGGCGGCGAAGTTTTGGGACGCCACATCTCCAGATTTAAGTCGGGCCTGTCCCTCTGAAGGAGGAATGTTTGAAATAACCAAAAAAATTGTCAGGAGGCGATTTTGTTTAGTATTTTTGTGTACTTTTGATTATGTTTTGGGGTATCCTTTGCTTTCGTCCAAAATCCGCCTGTAGGGGGACACGCTCGACCTAACGCTGCATCTGATGATGGAGCTGCGGACCTTTGGGGCATGGCGTCAGGGTAATATGCCAGCTGATGTTCGCGGGGCACCAGTCGATGCTGGCCAGGACGTGAGTTCGCCGAGTGTGTCTCCACCTGGCCCAACTCTACCAATGGCGCGCAGCCTGCGTCGGCCCCGTGCTGCCTGCGCCGCAGGCCCTCACCCGACGGGCTCGCGGCGATGACCGCGCCCGACCAGCCGGCGGCCCAGCTGCGGAGGCGTCGCCTCCGGCGACCGCGCTTGCGCACCCTGATCGGCCGCGGGGGGCCGACGGCCGCGCCGTTCGGAGCGAACGGGCGGCACCTCAGCGCCTCGGGGCACTGCTCGGTCCGACCGGGCGCGCGGTGCGGCGGCGCAGGCCGACCGCACACCCCTCGACGCACGGGGCTCGGAGCAGCGGGCGAGCGAAGCAGCTCCCGAATGCTCATGCGGCGTGCGCCGTCGATTCGGAGCCAGCGGCGCGGCCCGCCCGCGCCGTGGTCGTGCCCGCCGCCGCGTGGACTGTGGGCGGCCCGGCCCGTGCGCGCCCAGAAGGCGCGGCGTCGCGCCTTCTGGGCAGAGGGGCGAGGGCCCGCGCCGATCGGCAAAACGACGAATCAGAAAACGATCACTTGCTGGGCGTATGTTTCGCGTCTGTCCCCCCTCTCTCTCCTCCTTCCTCCTCCTGCTGCTGCTCCTCCTTATTTATGAATTGCCATCGGGTGGGGCCGCTCGCCGACGGAGCGGGCGGGTGGCACCTGGTCGTCGCAGGGTTGCTCACGGCGGTGGGCCGCAGAGGTCTTGCGCGCCTGCACTGGCGTCTGCAGGTCCAGGCGGACCCGCTGTTCCCGCACGTTGACGCGGGATCTGACACCGCCCGCGAGCCCTGTACCCCTGCGAGCCCCATCGACGTACGGGGGGTATCAAGCACCCCCGCTGGGGCTCACTCGGCTGCAGGCGCCCTGCAGGCTCTGAGCCCCCGCCGGTGGCTTTTTAAAGATCTGGCATGCAGGGGAAGGGCTCCGCGTGAGGCTGCCTGGCTGGCGGGGATCATCGGCCTGGGCATGAGCTGCGAGGTTGGGTGCGCAGCGGGGTGCTTGTGCTGACTTCGTCGTACTTTGGCATGGCGAAGTTTAGGAGCGCGGCCTCTGGAGAGCGCGCCCATGTTCTGGCGGTCTGTACGGGGCTGGCGCTGTCTGCCGTGCTCTCCCCAGATGCGGAGTTAGTGTTTACAGTTTCGTTGGATGGCAGCGTGAGGCCTTGGAGCACGAGCTCTGGCGAATGTGTGCGCAGGATACCTGGCAGATAACTGGTGGGTAACGACAGCCGCAGTCCCATTTGGGAAAGGATGCGGCACAGTCCCTGCTGGCGTTTCCAGCGCGCTCCAGGCCAGACCGCCCAAACGGGGCTGGGGCAGATGGGGTCGGAGGATCGCGCCGCATCGCCGAAGAATCGGCAATGCTGCGCGATCCGAAAAAGCGCGTTCTGTGGTCGCTTGGAGGTGGGGGGGGTTGGAACCGTCCCTCCCCCCCCATGGATTGAAGGGGGCTGGTTAAAACCCCCCCTCTCTTCCGTGACGGAGGGGAGAAGGGTTCAACCCTCCTCCCCCCCCCTCTCCCGCCCCCTCCCTCGCTCCTCCCCTACTCTTTCCCTCTCCTCGGGCTGGCGGCAGCGTCGGCGGCGGCTGGCGGCGGCGGGGAGCGCCGATGAAGACGATGACTTCCTTTTCTTGGCGGGCGCTGGCGCATGCGGCGGCTGGCGGCGGCGGCGGGGAGCGTCGACGAGGACGAGGGGCTCTCGGGGGCTTCCGAGGGGCGTTTGT